CTCTCACTAAAATTATCTTCTAAAAAATGGTCAATCAAAGAAGGGTGCGGTTTTTACATGGCCCAGGCTCTAAACAATCAAGAGCGCACCTTCAAAAAGTGTCGAGAAATATAGTTTTAACATTGAAAATCTTTGTGATAGCTTTAAGATATATTTTCATCTCTAATTATAAAATTTAAAGCTTCAAAAACAGTGTAGATCGCGTAGATCTATAAAAATCTTGAAAGTTGACAGTCGAAAAATACTTTACAAGATATACTATTTTCAAAACTTAAACTCCATTTTTTTTCTCATGTATATGCATGTTGATGCTGAGGTGATCAATTTGAAGATATTTGGTCATCAAAACAACCTCTTATATTGAAAATTTTGAAGTGGGTTCCAATTTGATTGTTTAGAACCTCGGCTCTATATAAACTTTTTCTATAAAAAACTGATACAAGTGGTTCCCAAAAATGAACATTGATTTCATGCAACTCTTGTATAGTAATATGATGTAACAACCTTTAAAAACCATCTTTATGACCATTTGATTGATTCAAATTTTGAAATATACGCTCTTTTCATTCTAATGGACAATCACAAAAAAAGAAAAAATTGAAAACACAACTTGAAAAGTATTTTTTAACTCAATTAATATAGGCCATTCATTTTGGCATATCTAGGCTTTAGAAGGATTTTTTTTATTTCTAACTTTTTTAGATGCCTTTATTATCTTTAGATGAACAATGTTAAAGAAGAAAAAAATAATTTTTAGTTTATAAAGGCTAATATCTTTAAATTCACAAAATGAATGATCTAGATTCATTTTTGAAGGGTGCTTATTTTGACTATATCTAAAATTCAATTTAAAATTTAATATATTTTTTTTGAATTGATTATTGAGATAACAAGGGTGTGTGTGTAAAATTTGAGGTCATACAAATATCACACATGGATTTTTTACAAGTGTGTGGTTGCATTATGCTGCTATACAACCGTTGCCTCAGATCATTGCTCCCCAAAAATAGCTCTGTTTTGCTAATACCATTGTCCCATAATTCTCGCAGAACCTCCCCTTAGCTGGAATGAATTTTTTATAAAAATCAGAAGTGGGAAGAGAGAGATTAGGAAAAGAGGAGAGAGTGCGTGTGTCTAGCAAAAGGGAGAGAGAGAGAGAGCTAAAGCGGGAGCAGACATAGCGCGCTACCACTCTGCAACAAAACCGCGTCTCCCCCAAAACCGCCACTCCACCAAACCGCCGTCCCCACAAAACCTCTTTTCAGTCCACAAATAACAATATACCCAAAAAACCCCTTATCTTTCCCGTTTCAACGTAACTTCTCTCATGGCTGCAAAACCCTAAAATCCAATCTTCTCTCCCCGAATTACCCCTCTAAAATCCCCAATTTTTTCCCCATCTTTTGCCTATTTACCGGTCTGGTTGAAGAGATCGGCCACATAAAACACACAGGTTTCAAAGACGAAGTCACATTCGACATGAAAATAACGGCCAGGACCGTTCTCACCGGCGTTACGTTAGGAGACAGCATCGCCGTTAACGGCGCCTGCCTAACGGTAACGGACTTCGACGCTGAGGGCATGGTCCATGGACACTTGGAATGGGCAAATACCATGTAATGGGTTTAATAAGCTGCCTGCAACTTTTTCGAAGCTTGCGAGCTTGCGTTTGATAAGTTGTTGGGAATTTTTTTGAAGTACGGAAAACTGTCTCCCTTCTCATCATTTGCACTTGTTTTTTATATGACATTTTATGGTTAAATTTATATTGAAAAATATATTGATTTATTATTATCCCCATGCATTCTAAATAGCACATTGACATGTGAAAACTAATTTGGATTAGGATGCGCGCCCTGTCAATAGCTCTAACACAACCTTATTTGTGTTATACCAAATAAGCAAAATTCATACATATTTACTATGTAATTTCATAATTTGAAAGACACTTTATTTACTTAGTGTGAGAGAGAGGCTATTCTACCATGAAAGTTTAGAGAGAGAGAGAGGGGGGAGATTATTTTGGTGGGTAAAAGAGTTTCTTGTGCCAAGGGTTTTGGCTTGCAAGGGGAAGGAGGGTTTCTTGTGGGAAAATAAACATGAGAGTGGGTAAATAAACAAGAGAGTGGGGGAGGAGAAATTAAGTAGAGTGGTCCAAGAGTGGGCTTCCATCGTCCGGCATGGAAGTTTTTTTGGACGTGCGTGGATGGGCAGTGCCCATTTACGCACTTCCAAATTTGTTAACATAAAAAAATGGGATGAATGTTTTGATGGGACTTTTGGCTCCACTTTTAAAAAATCCCACCAAACAAATACGCTTGATGTGTCATCGAAATATTTGGACACGTGTTCCTATCTTGAAGGGTTTGACATCACTGAGGTTTTTGTTCAGTTTGGGAAATTACTATCCGTATGTTTCTCTTAATTACGTACTTGTTTTTTCTTTTTTGTTATTATTTATGCATAATTTTTGTTTGGATTATATTTGGTTTGTTGTATTTTTTTAGACCTTTTGTGGGATTAATTTTGGTTTTTGCCATATATTATGCTTGTGGTGATAGATTGGGAGATAGCTGACAGTGAGACCAAACCCTAATCCTACACAATTGATTCATCTTAATTTTAAAGCTTTTCTAATTTTATTAGTGTTGTAAAAGCTGGTTCGGCAGATCGTTTATCCACAAATTTGAATCATAGGACCATTGATCCAAATCGGGTCTGGATCAATCTGAACCAGTGATTCAGAATGAGGGAGGAAGAGAGAGAGACGCCTGACATTCTAAGACAAATACCTACAAGTCATTGTTTGTCGCCTTTGTTTTGGGGTGATTGAAAGTTAAATTTGGCGAAGGTTTGGTTTGAGAGAGTTTACTTATGAGGAGGCATTTATTATTGCAACCATGAAGTTGTGATCATCTTAACTACCAAATAAATAGGAATAGATAAAAACGTTGCCAGCTTACTTTAAGAAAACAATACAAAAACTTGTTGAAAATGCGGTGTAACCTCTGGAAACGTAGGTTGCAATATGTGGTTGTGCGGGAAAGAGTTGATTCTCAATGAATTTCACATGATTATAGCTTATGAATTGAACCTGTCGAACTCTGTTTCTGCCTTGTTTGTTTGGCTGCTGCACTTGCTTTCAAACTATTTTTGGTACTTCTATTAGAGTAACTTTTTTAGAATACATGTATCAGTAGAAATTTAAAATTCAGAGGAAATATTTACCGAAATAATGGCTGTTTTTTTTTTGTTCGGTGGAACTGTCAACATTGGTTAACCACTTTCTCAAAAAAAAAAAACTGTCAATATTGTATATAGTATACATTATTAAACTTCATTTAATATATGATTAGTTTTCACAAGAGAGAGAGAGACCATGGTGATCAATGTTACTAGAGAATAAGTTTATTATGATTGATTGCATTCAATTAGATGCTTTGCGTGCATAAAGGATCCCTATCTTGCTTTCAGGATATTAACAAATGGAAAAAGTTTATATAAGAATGCTACCTTATAATGTAGACCTATGCCCCGAAAAATTCCATCGGAAAAGGAAGTTTTATTGTTGAAAAACCCTTTGATTGATCATCTCGACATCGAGATGTATAACTATGAAAAATAAAAAGATTTTAAGTCTCAAAAATAATGCATTTTACAACATATTATCTACACCGTCTATTTTCAAGATTTTCATATGTTTATAGATCTACTTGATTTTAACCATTTTTTAAATTTAAAATTTAATAATTAGATATAAATATAGATTTTGAGATAATCCTAAGTAACATTTTACATCAAAATTATATACCATGATAAAATTTGAAGGTGGACCTTACCTCTACACCTACGGATGCATCCGTATGCGAACTGCACCCTTAACAAATATGAAAAGACGGATGATGCTAAAAATTCGGATCTAGAATTTGAATGACAATGTATCTGTGATAACAACTTTTCTAGTTGTGCACAAATTACTTTTGGTGGCCTTTAAAGTAACAACAGAAAGCAATCATCTACTCACGAATTATAGCATAAAAATACAATGGTGACAAAAGCAGGCAAATAATGATCAAAAGAATTTATAGCATAATATTTAACAACACATGCATTATCACAAAGTGCTTATATTATTCTCTCTTTTTTTATCTGAAACTTAGTGCAATACAATTCCCTATATAGGTCTTCCATTCATTATGCATCTCCTGAGCACCTAACATGTGCTTCTCATATGGCCCTGTATGTTACATCCAGTGTTCAAAATATAAACAAGCCGTCTTGGGACTCACCCAAGTTGGCCTACTTCTCAGCCGAGAAACCTTGGCATCACTGGGTCTCCCAGTTTTTTCATAGTGCTGAAACTTTTCTTATTATAAATTGCCAGTCAAACTTGAGTGACACAGGGGTGTCGGGCTTGGTCCTCTGGTGTGTCCAAGCCCAAGTACAAGTTTCTAAAACACCCACGTCCCAATGTACTATATTCCCATTGCCAAGTTCCACCAGAACCAGAAGTCAGAACTCATAAATCATATAATCTGTCCTAAAAAATTTTCAGACATGTATGACTGATCTGTAATTCTTTTGGGTTAAGTACCTACGGGCAATTGTATGACAAAGTTTTAAGTACTTCTCATTGGGGATAGCTTGATTACTGAATATAAAAAAGACGTGCATGATAATATTTAGCACAATCTTAGTTTAGTGCCCACCAATTTCAAGGGACACGTACATCTCTTATCAAACTTTAAATTTTACTTATAACATGTAACCATGAATTGATAAAAAAATATAATGCATCAAGTTGTATTCATAGAAATATTAATGCATGACTAAAATGCAAGAGAGAACAAAAGAACATGAAGTAAATATGATGAGAAGGCACGTTCAGCTGACAAGCACTAAATACCCAAAATAACTGGAGCTAAGACCCAGTCCTTCCTTCGCCAATTTATCAGCCACCTCACATTTTTTCTATAATGAACACTACAAAGAGGCACTTAAATCAAACTTGGAAATTCTGGCATATGATTGGTAGAACTACAAGAGTGGCCTTTTTTCTGTATCTGATTGATCACGTATCTGGTACTTCCCTGCTTGCTTGAGTTCATACGCATCAGCCAACAACTTGGTTCTTGGCTCTGGAATCATACCTTTCGATATCATCTCAGCATAGTATCCAAAAGCCTCATCCATCCTTCCCTTTTCATAGAGTCGATGTACCATCACAGTGTAAGACCTTTGATCAGGGCCTCTCCCCCCTCTCTCCATCTCTCTCCACACGCCATAAGCCCCCTGAAAATCATCCCAGCCTGTAAGAATCCTCAAAATCAAATTCTGGGTATCACTCGTAAAGACACACCCTGTTCTTTTCATTCTTTTCAATAATTCAGAGAACTCCTCTTTGTTCTTAGTTGACCTAAGGAAAAAATGGTAAGTCCTAGCATTTGGGGTGCACCCGTTTTGCTCCATTACATCCAAAAGCTCGTAAGCCTTCTCCATCCTCCTTATTTTGCACATGTACTTAATAAGTGAGTTGTATGTCACAACATCAGGGAGGCAACCTCGCTCGTTCATTTCATTAAATATACTTAGAGCTTCGGGTATCTTCTTCTTAAAGCACAAAGCATCCAATATAGAGTTGCATATTGCAACATCTGGGGTTAATCCTTTCTCCCACATTGATTTGAAAAGCTCTACAGCGCTGCCCAAGTTACCACCTTTGGTTAATGCATTTATGAAAATCCCATATGTATAAAGATCAGGTGCACAACCTGAAGAGATTATATCATTCCATAACCTCTTAACTTCCCGTAAATTTCCCATTAAACACCACCCATTAAGGATTATGTTTCTACTCCTAATTTCAAGAGGAAACTCCTCTTTCTTCAAATAAAGAAGAGACTCTGCTTCTTGAACATGCTTGTAACGACAAAGAGCCAATAAAAGAATTTGAAAAGCAACTTTGTCAAGCTTTAGGCCAAAATTCTCCCTCTTGTAAAATGTCTCAATGGCTTTCTCGACTTTGTGATCAGCTGCATATCTGTTAATAAGGATCTCGAATGTTCTCTCTGTTACAAATGAAGGCCCATCTTTGGATGAGTACATTTCCTTTACAAGATGCCACATTTCATCAAAACGCTTCATTCTACCCAAGATATCAATCATCACATTATAAACACCAGATTCATGAGAATAATTCCCTCGATTAGAGGCCCATTGGAAGAAGAAAAGCGCAGGTTTCCAATCTGATCGATGCCTATGTAGCACCACTAAAACCAACTCCTTAGTTATAATTAACCCAGAATTGTCAAGAGCAAATTCTAGTTCCTCACGAGTTTGAAATGACTTCATAAGCTTTTGAACCATTCCAGCTTCACTAGCACCTTCAAGAGCCAAATTACAAGAATCCAACTCTGGTTCTGTATGATCATACATGCTAGTCAATTTGGAATGGGAGACACCATCAGTTTTGATGTTACTGGATGTGATTGTCTCCTCTAATTGGCAGGCAAATTCAGTTTCCTCTGCATTTCTTTTGACAGAGAAGTCTCTATTAGGAACATAATACGCAGGAGAACGCTCAAGACTAGTCTTTCCACTAGATAAGTGCAGAGAGTCAGCAAGCACAAAGCCAATCGGACCTGGAAGGGGAAAATATGTGTGAGTTAAGAAAGAAAGGGAAAGGCTTCAACAGAACATGTCCCAAAATAGCCAAATCAATCATTTCTCACAAGCCTTTGGTAAATATGAAGAACACATTGAAGAAATGAAATAAAACCCATGATGATGTGACTGAACAAAGAAGCACTTTAGGATTTTCCATAGAAGATTAATTGAAAAATCTAAACAACAATGAAAAGAATTACGATGAAATTACATCCTGCTAGGACAAGATAAAAAAACAATATTTATAGGTACAGGAGAAAAGGAAATAAACACATAAGATGAAATTATAATAAAAGGGATCGTCTCCATCACATAACGAACAAAAGAGAAATTGGATAAGTATTCTAGAGAGAGAAACTTGACAGGAACCAAGAAGACATAAAAATACAATTTTTATGTAGTGTGTGTGTGTGTGTGTGTGTGAGCGAGAGAGAGAGAGAGAGAGGAGAGAGAGAGATAACAGTATAAGCTTGTCTGTGATGAAAAGCTAGAAGGGTGGTATGGAGAATTAGACACTTACATGAAGGCAGGGTAGTCTTTATCAGAAGTTTGAGGCTTCCTCGAGGCATAGCAAAATGCTGCTCCTTGCTTTAAGTCTGAGAGAGCAAAGAGGAGAAGACGAGCACATATAAACTTTTGAGCCAATTGCCCTTTTTTGCTTGACTATTACCAAAATGCCACTAGCCTGAAACTCATTATCATTTAGAAAAGAACATAATACCCAGTATCACCCTTGGGAAAGGACTTATATTCATGTAATTAAGAGAGAAAATATTAAAATAAAAAGAGATAAATGGATATTATGAAGGCATGTAATTAAGAGAGAGAGTGGTAAAATGTGTGCATGAAAGAGATGCATAATATGACCACGAGTGATTACATTAGGGTTCATATACAAGGAGTTCACTTTTCTACTATAGTTCATCATTTAGAGCACATGAACAACACACCCTAGTTGTCTGTTGTTAACATCTAACGACTTGGGGTGGTGTAACAGAACTATACAAAATTTTAACAATGCATTCTAGTTGCTCCTTATTGACATCCAATGGCTGAGGAGGTGTGCTCACCTGATTTCTTATCAGAGGAGGTGCCAAGATCAATTCCACATATTAGGGTTCTTTCGGACAGATCAATTCCACATATTAGGGTTCTATCGGAGAGATCAATTCCACATATTGTTTGGAATATCACTCTTCCTAATTCTTAGGAGTGAGACTAAATTATATCATATCTCATATTGTTCCAATAACAATACCTGTGTGAGTTCTTTCTCATAATTCTCCTAACCAGAGAAAAAATAATGTCACCACAAGTTTTCAATGACATTGAGATACAACACATGTAAATAAATAAATAAAAAGAAGAAAGCCATATGATTTATCATATACACACACGCACGTGTGCACATGCGAGCACACACACACAGAGGAAGAATATTCTGTAAGCCAATTAGCTTATGGAATAGTGTAAGCTGGACTGACAGGATTAATAGAACAAAAAGGATAATCAAGATAGAGGTGCTTTAAAAGCTAGCCTTTTGAGAGAGAAACTAATCTATGCTGGTGGAAAGAAACCTTCAAAACTCTTTCAGAGATAACTTTCCTTTCTCTCCCACATCCCCAAAACCCTTTGTCCTCCTATGGCTTATAACTTTATAGTGTGTCTCATAACTTCGGTCTCTCAATAATTCACACAATTCTATGTCTCCTTTGTTCTTGTAAATAAGTGCTACAGTACTTTTCTCCATTCATCTGGCATTTATTTGTTCTCAACACCTTGTTGAACAACTTGGTCAACCAATCAATGTCAATTTCCCCCATGCACTTCCAAACCTCTATCAAGATACCATTTGGTCCTAAAATCTTTCCTATCTTGATCATCTTCAAAACATCTTTCACTTTCGATATCTTAATCCTACGAATGTATCTATAACCTCTACCCTCATTTATGCCAACAGTTCCTTGTACCGATTGGCTCGCCATTCAATACACTTTAAAATAACCTCTCCACCTTTCGTTTACCTCTTCATCCTTTGCCAAATCCTCACTCTTAATACATTTAATATAGTCTAGATCTCTACACTTTTTCTCACTCATTTTGCTAATTTAAAGACATCTTTTTTGCTTTTTCTTATTCTTAGCTTACTGTATATATTATTGTGTGCCTTAAGTTTAGCCTTACTTTTGTGCTTTCTTAGGATTTCCAAATGAGCTTTAAACCATCTCTCTTCAAGGACCCAATGGCACTTAGCCTCCTGTATTTCCAAACATGAGGCAGGAGGGTTCCATAGAAAATGGTGGTTCAATTTGATGTTCCGTGACTAAGAGTTAGAGCAATTAAGTAGAGCAATGGACAATCTTGACCCTAATGGAGATGCCAGTGCAGAAGAAGACCCTTCCATGATGCCTCATTCCTCACAGGCTTTGTCCTGAACACATGGTGAGCTTCTTCCAATTTGTTGAATTTTAAATACATGGGGAACAAGTTCTTGTTTTTAAACAGGCTAAATATGAAGGAGTTTCTTACAACATCATGGATTGCTTTTCCATGATTCATAATAATGATTTCTAATAATCCATGATGGAGGACCATATGGGGTTGAATGGTATTTGAGGTGCCATGGCTTTTGGGTCTGGATTAATAAGAGAAGAAAGAATTAGATTTTTTTTGTTATTGAAGTCTTACAGAACATAAAGAAGATACCAATAAATGCTTGATTCTCATCCACTCTGAAGAGATAAATAGTGGATTTTAACTCTTAATTCCCTTATTTTCTTTAAATTTATCAGAAAAAATAAAGATTTCTGCTTCCTCCCCTTCAAAGTTCAAAAGATACCAGTAAACGCTTGCTCCTCATCCACTCTGATGAGATAAATAGGGGATTTTAACCCTTAATTCCCTTATTTTCTTTAAATTTATCATAAAAAATAAAGATTTGTGCTTCCTCCCCTTCACAAGTTCAAAAGATCACTTTTATACTAGAGTGCAAAAAACTTCAAAATTGCATGAAATGAGATCCCCACAATATAACAACAGATTTCAAGAAATATAAACCCCAAGAATAGAATAAATAAAGAGAAAAACATGAAATTGGTATATCAAACAAATAAAATAACTAAATGGTCCAAGAAGGAAAACAACCTTTCAGAATCCTCCTACTGAATGACTGTGCATACGCCTGCAATCTGGTTTGACATCAAAATCAAGAATTGAGTCTCTTGCACAAATTCAAGCCATAAAGAACACTTTAAAAAGTTTAAACTTTAAAGTGTATTGAAAGTTGCTCATAGGTAATATGAAAGATTGTACGATATGCTCCCATCCGACCATATTGTATTACAAGCATCTTTCAGGCCCAAAATTTTGCGATCCACTTAACGAGCATTCTGAAAGAGCACGTACGAGGGAGCATAGTTTAATTCTACCTTTGTCAAATGAGCCGCTTACAATGATTTTTTCAATCTGAAATTTTAGAAGTTCAAACTGCACCAAAGTAGACTATGCACGATAATTTGGCAAATAGGGTTGTAGGCTGTCTTCTTTTTTTTTTTTTTTTTTAACGGTTTAAATAGGGTTTTAGACTATCCATTTCACCTTAAAAATAAGTGTTTACGGATCTGCAATATTATAATATTTGGAGTTTCAAATTTCATAGTTGGTATTAAGAATTAATTTTAAAATCATTATGAAAAATTTTGAAATTAATTTTAGAGTCATCATGAAAATTTTTCGATGCCGAAAATAAGGGTTTAGGGTGAGATTTTACTTTGTAATCGTAAAACCTGGTTCTCATATAAACTGCATCCATTAGTTTTTGCTATTAAATACGTAAATATTTTGTAATGCAATCCAAGAAATTTCACAAAAATAGATCACAATTCTCTCTCTGGTGCGCGTGTGTGCACGGGCTATTCGTTAGTAAGAGTATAAAATCAATAAAAATCAGACTTTTCAGAAAGGTCAACCGATCAATAAAAAATCAGATTTGGAGCTCAAAATTTGCCATCGTCACAAGACTAAGCTTGGACTCTTGATTATGATTGATTTCAAATTTGGGAACTGGAGAATTTAAAATCCTTTCTTTCTCCTCTTTGAAATTGAGATCTCGACGTACATGTGATTGATGGTTTTAGAAATTTTTAGGTGGCCATAATGCTCTCAGCTGAGCGTTTTAGGCACCGGTTTAATTGTATAACTTGGTCCCATGGGTCTACTATTTAGGTTCCGTCTTTGTGGGCTGTGAGAAATCACGACCTTGTGGGTGCCTTTTCTAGTCGGATCTAGAGTAAAAACTGAATTTAATCTGGCCAAAATCAATATCTAATATATCTTTGGTAGTCCAACCGCTCAAACCTTCAACTGGTGGCTCGGAGTAAAAATCTAATTTGGTAATGGTCAAAACCATTATTTGACCAGTTTTAACCAATCCAACTGGCCAGTTTCAACCCTGTGGACTACCCAAACAAAGCGTGTAACTATTATTTTAATACATTATATATTATTTAACTATAATATATATTTTGATATTTTTTTAAAATCCAATTAAACCGATTTGACCGACTATATCAATTTTGACTAAACCATATCCATTACCAATTTGGCACTTATTAGTTCAATCTGGCACTTATTAGTTCAATCTTGATAACATTGCAAGGATTGTACATGCCCTCAAACTTGTGAGGGAAATATAGTTACAAGGAACCATCCAACTAAAGAGGGTTATGGCCAATTCAAAATCAGTTTAACCATATCATCTTTTAAAAAATATAAAAAATTAAAATAATAGTTAAAACTATGAAAAATACTAAACCAAGGCTCTCAACTTTTTTTTTAACCAATAAAACTTAATAATATGACCAGCTAAAATAGATCAAACACTTATTTCGACCAAAATTAAATTAGACTTCGACCATAACCAAATTAAACTCTTTAGACCAGACTGACTAAGGTACCAATGTTCAGTTTGATTGAACAGATAGAATGGTCCAGTACAATGACTTTGATTTTAAAACTGGCTCATTTTTCAACAACGATGCGTGTAAAATCAAAAGGGACATTCAAACGACACATAAAAACATAGAAACACATAGTTATCAATATCGGGCCAAGCTGGCTTGTCAACTCAAACCTCTTACCAGTGTCTTGGTTGTTTATGTTCGAGGTAAAAAAAGATATATGATCGAAAACTAATCAAAATTTGATTGATTTTGAATTATCAGACCAACCGATTTTAATTTATTCCACTAGCTAAATGAATTTGAACAACTTTTTAAATATATTTTATATTTTTAAACTATCATGTCTATTTTTTTTATTTTTTTTAAATTCAATCCAATCTATTTTACTGGTGGTTGGATCAATTTTGATTAAACCAAATCCTTTAATCAATACAATCCACTGAAAAAACGATATACCAACAAAATTTAAGAGAGCACTCAAATATGCAAGGTTAAAATTTCATTGAAAAATGGAGAAGTCCCATTCAATGAAAGGGTGAGACTCTTGCCTCCATTAAAACGTTAGAGAGAGAGAAAGAGCTTCTTGCCTCCATTAAACAGTCAAGGAGATATCTTTGAAATAATTGTGCTATAATTGCCAACCATGTCTTCTCCCTAGACAGTTGCTTCTGGAGAGAGAGAGCTTCTTGCCTCCATTAAAAGGTCATGGAAATTTATTTGAAATAATTGCGCTATAGCTGCCAACCATGTCTACTCACTAGAAAGTTGCTTCTCAGATTTCTCAAGGTTTGTCAGTGAACATCAACCCTTGAGAAGCTGTGGACAATGGATCTAAGACATATATCATAACAATACAAAACAAAAAGAAAGACAAAAACTGCGTTAACAAAAGAGAAAAAAAAAAGTAATTCAAAAAGAACAAAAAAGAAAAAGAGAGAATGATACAGGGGACAGAAGAACAGAACTCAAGCCCTTAAAGAGATAAACAATATCTAATTATCATGTAGAGATATACATCATTTGCAACATAAAAAGGAGTCAAATAAAAAGGACAGTAACGCATGTGAACCTTCCAATACTCTAAATAGCTACTTTCCAATATATAAATCCAAAAAGAAATTGTTAGAACCTACTTGTTAAGGGAGGCCATTGTGACCAACACCGAGCTTTAGCCACCCATAGTTAAAACCTAATAATATAATTACAGGCACCATGTTCACCAGCCCTCCACGGCCACATGGCATCATCACATACTTTCAAGTAGATCAGCATCCCAAATCAATAGGGCCCCCCTAAAACATGGGCCCACCCCATTTACATGGATACAGTCAGCTTCCCTGTTTCCCTTGGAATTCTTCATTTCTTTGCCCTTAATTTTCAGAAATTTTCAGCTAATTTTCTGTGTATGAAGATCACAAAATATCCAAGAGCCATGAAAGGGGACCATCAGAAGCTAGAGCATGTTATAATTCTGACTGTTCAAAAGGCACGCGCACAAAGAGCTGCCCGTGAAGTGTGACCACTGCAGATGTCTGGTGTGGATCGATCCTCGAAGGCAAGCTCACAACCTAAATAAAATGCAATAAGCAATTTAAGAAAGTAAGAGACAAATGATATTAGAGAGCACCCACACATGTTTTGCGCCAAACGGCATGAAGATCAAGCATCCAATTTGTCTTACCCAATTTTTTCTTGTGCCTTTTTTTTTTTTTAAATGGTGTTAAGAAATTATTTTCCCTTTCTTTTACAGATTAACAAATTTCACCACATTAAACATGTGAGCAAAGCTAAAGTAGAATTACAACTCAAATATTTTTATAAAAACTATGCCGTGATAATCAGAGCCTTCTCGCAACTATTTAGGGTCTGCTACACAAATCCTGGTCTGTCATTCTGCTCTATCAATCTTCATATATTTTCTCACTAATTCCAACCATATCATTTTGGGCCTACCCTTTGCCCATGATCCATATTATCATGAAAAGGCTAACTCATGAGTCCTAATGTGCTATATCAAATAGATCGATGGACAGATGGAAGAAGAGTGGGTCATAACACTTGCGTCCACATCAAGTTCTCATCGGGAAAACTCTCTCAATCATCGTCAATCAATTGATTAGACAGGCGACCTTAAACTTTTCTATGACCATATGGGTCATAGAATACTTCTCCATTATTTTATAAGAAATTTGAAATACTTTTTGGGGAGACAAACAAAGTCCCACTATTGGAAACCTCGGCAGTTATAAGCCGGAATAAATCAGGTTTTATTGTGATTAAATTACGACTGGGACTCTTTTTCTTTTTTTTCTTTTTTTTTTTTTGGGACACATCAACAGGGTAGCAATGGAACCCATGATGCCAAGTTGTAGCTTCACCAGCCTAATCACCGAAGCCAAGCCACCCATTCCTTGCACCTAGGAAGCTAATAAAGCACACAGTTTAATAAAGGTTGAACAAGAGAATGGATTGACCTTCTTGAAGGGGGTAACACCCCAAGGATTATCAGGCTGCTCCGGCTCACCAGAGATGACCAGACGTCCTGCTGGATCGGACTGTACACGTACCTGAATTTGCACAGCACATAACTTCAGATTTCATTTTCTACAGGAATAAAATAATGACACCTTTCTTGTAATCATAATAAACAAGCAAATGGCGAGGGCGTTGCACATTGGTCTAGTTTCAATAAAGATATTATACAAGAGATCTTCCAGATTCAATAAAACTTATTATTTTAATTAAATTCTCAAATCAATTAATATCTTTTTTTGAAAATTTCATTCACTATTTAATTTTATTTCTTAAATTTTATGTATTTTCCCCAATTAGTTGGGAAATGCCTTGACGAGGATGATGAAATTTTATACTTTATCTATTTTCTAATTTATAAATTTAATTTGTTGAGATAAATACCAGTTGTTCTAATAATTGATGAAAATCCCTTGTTTCGCAGGAATTCCTTATTTAAAATCCCTTGATTCTAAAAAAAAATTGATTTGATTGCGAATCCTATTTTGGCAGGAATTCTTGTTACAAAGTTGAAAGAGAGATATTCTTTACACTAATTAAAGGGAAAAAAAAGTAACGGAAAGAAATAAAAACTCACACTCCCAATTAATCTACCTTAACAACATAGATTATTGGTGTATCACTGATATCAAAAAAAAATGTTGCATCACTACTATTATCAGACTATTGGTGGCATTTAAGGCCAGAACAGCAAGGGCCAAAGTTGTGCAACATATTTCATTTTTCTTTTAATCTAGGTCAAATAAGACATTTCATTTGCCAAATGGTTTTTCAAAACTTCATCTTACATATCCAGAAAATATATGCAAATGTAACCATACGACCAAACATATAGAATATAACTCCACCCATGCACATAGAACAAGTATAAAGCAGGGCACTTCAATGAGAGGTAGAAACTTCCATACAAAGAAAATTATTGCATATTCAGAGTGCATATGTCGTTATGTGCACAGGCAACACATCCACAATCAGTTCAGGAAAAATGGGAGGAACGGCCTTAGTGTATCATGTCCATAGAGTACTTCACCTCTGCCATTTATTTTCTGAACAGACCATCAACACACTGCATGCATAGTGTGAGGGTACACATGGCACATATGCAGCATGCTCCAAATGAATGGGTAAAGTATTCCTGAGATGAGATTTTTTTTGGCCTCTTGTTTGTGAATTCTTTGTATTTTTTAGAAAATAATAAATTCTCAAAATCATGGACTCAGCATGTGACTAAGTCCCATGCTGAGTCCAAGTAGTAAACTATTGTACTTATGTCGACGGCTTCAGAATGCACTAAGGGTAAGTCTATCGTTTCTTACAATTGGTAGAAGGCTTTTCATTGTTTTACAAATTAGTTCAATAAATATCTCAAAATAGGCACCACCTTTTAAATTATTTCGAGCAGTGTACTTTTCCCAGTTTCCCCTTCCATAAAGAAACACCAATATCAAATCATACAGATCTGAATCATAATGCTTTTTAATTACCTCCTCACGCAGAAGCCCAGGAACTAAAGCATAAACTTCATAGCAATCTTTCTGTACAAAAGCACAGAAGCAACTAGTTAAACCTTCCACATAATTGATATCTCATAAAACTTTTCTGGATAGTGAGATTCAAATCCCATCAAAAGTAAAACCATTTCACCAATAATAAACAAAATTAAATAAATAAAACGTCAGAAAATGAAACAAGAGTAACCAAAACCATATAAAAACAGCAACTCAACGTGGGTAACAATAAGTATAGAATAAACATAATATTAAAAAACAAGAAACAAAGAGAAAACTATTATCAAATATTAAAAAGGACAACTCAAAGGGGGAACATAATCCAACACAAAACAATTTTAGAAACATCATCATCCTACTCAAGTGAAATAACTTACAGTCCGCCTAACATTGATCTTCACCCAATCAGCACATGGCCCAACATCAACAACCATTGTATCCATCCTGGTAAAAGCAGAAAAAATAAGGCATTAACGCTTAGTCCCCTTGATAAGAAGATTTTTCCCTTCCAAATACGAAATGTACCAATAAAAAAAATGAAATGCTAAAAGTGAAAACAATCCGTGCAAAATGCCTATACTTTATTTAGACAAAAAAATGATACAGTTTATTTAGACAAAAAATGATATAATTTAAGTAGAAATCTTCCAAAACACAACAAAACAGTTAACATATTTTTTGGACCTGGTTTCTATGAGCCCAAGCCCGCATATGTAGAAATGTGGGCCTATTAATAAATCTATTTTTGAGATGGATTTTTTTACTTAATTTTAAGGACATGTAATCTCTAACATGGAGATCATGAATATGAAAAAGTAAGTAAATTTCAAAAACTACAAATAATAATTCTAGTAAGAAAATATTTGGACCGTTAGTTTCCATTGTTTTTAGATGGAACACCTACTTGCATCCATCTTTAAGATGGATGCGTTACACTTTTTGGACCACATATGTAGTCATGCGATCCAGCCCGCATGAAACAATTTTCCATATTTTTTTGTTGGTTGTTCAATGGTAGGATTCAAACTAGGGAAGTAGTGTTGCAATCCTCAACACCTTGACCATTCTAAGCCAAGAGCTCGAATTCTTAAAATAAGAAACCAATCAACTCCAACCCATACAAGATAAAAAGGTGATTACCATATAAATCATAGAAGAATCAAAAACACATAATCCATCAAACATATCCATATAGGTTATGTGAAGGGTGACAGAACAGAAAGAACATGAAATACTTAAGCCTATGATCTTTACTGTGGCTTTGTAATGGATTTTGTTCTGGCAGCTTTAACGGCACGTTCCAAGGACGATGGCTTCTTTCTTTTAGGAGTCCCTGAGAGAATTATTGACAGCCATGGTAAGACAAGTAACAGTAATGGATACTGAAAACAAATGAATGAAGTGAATTTAGATGAAGAACCATACCAAGATTCTTTAGTTGCTTCTCACGCTTAATTAAAGAAACTGGGGTCTTATCCTACAAATATAAGATATTTACATCAATAGAAGTCCAACAAAAATGGAGCCATACTTGAGCTTTACAATCTATTAGGGGGCACTTCAAAACTCACTCACCTTGATAATTGGGTCCCCAACTTCACCATTACCCAGGAGGCGTTGAGAGTGCCATCCTTGCATGGCACGAGCTGCTGCGTCTCTTCTAGCCCTACCTGATCCAGATGCTTGGTTGGTGAGCTGCAGAGATTTCCATACTTTCAGCTGGTTTCTTGGAAAGGCAAGTTTTATATTTAAAAAGGAAATGCCTAATCATGAAAATGCAAACCTACACCAAATGAATTCCAGAAGGGGAGAAAAATCAAATAACAGTTGATTACAATTAACAATGTTCCAAATAAATCTCAAATTGAAGTATCATCCCAGAAATGGTATGGGTCTAATAACATCAAAAGTTTTTTGTCGATTATACAATAGTGCGTTTTGTGTTTTATTTATGAGCAAGCTTAGTATCTTAGAAAACAAGAAGTAGAAGGACCTCAAAAGAGCTGAAGTTACTATGTCAGTGCGAGGGACCCAGCTTCTGCACATCCCTCCCTGACAAACACTCCCAATATGCCCCCAACTTTTCTTCCATTTTCCCAACCACCTTCCCAAGTCTTTCCTTTGACCCCAAAGAAACCTCTCCAAAAACCTACTCAGTACAAACCCTCTCCAAAAACCTACTCAGTACAAACCCTCTCCAAAACCTACTAGGTAAAATCCTTCCACTGATATCCTTCTCTTTAAGTTTTTAACTTTTTATCGACTAAACCAATAAGAATACACTGCCTAGGCAGGCAACTCGTGTTCGAAGCGCTACGAGAGAGAGAGAGAGGAAGGGGGGGGGGTGGTTTGGATAATAAACCGTCAGAAATACATACTCAAAAACATAAAAAGAAAAAAACCCAGAATGAACTTATGAAATATATATATATATATATATATATATATATATATGGAAAAAATTGGGATTAGCCCACTAGCCCATATGAACATATGAGCCCAACGGCCCAGATTGAATCTAGGCCGATCTGACGATCACGGATGTCCGGTAGTGTTTGAATTTTAATTTTTTTTCTACAAATCCAAATCACTTGAAAATTTAGGAGTGTGCTCATCAAAAATAGTTGAATCTTCGAAAAGTATCAAAAAAATATTTTACATGAAATAAATTGACCAAAATACCCCCAAAAAGTTTTGGGGGTATTTTGGTCATTTTTTTCCGTGAATAGTTTTTTTATATTTTTATTTGATACGTCTTGATGAGTAGAACACACGCCTAAAATTTCAAGTAATTTGAATTTGTCAAAAAAAAATAAAATTCAAACACGAAATGAGGTCGTGACCTTCAGATCGGCTCAGATTCAATCTGGGCTGTTGGGCTCATATGTTCATATGAGCTAGTGGGCTAATCCCAGCTTTTTCCATATATATATATATAGAGCAATGATTTCATGCAACCGTTGCATAGTAATATGATGCAACAACCTTAAAAAACCATCTTATGGCCATTTGTTTGATCCAAATTTTGAAATATACACTCTT